GTGGTAAATATTTGTGAAAACCAGGAACTAACCAGAATCCACCATCTTCTTCCAGATTATCGGCAAGATTGACAAGACCTTGTACATGCAGTTCACCGACTTTGGCACACCCGGGCTCATTGTTTTCTGTGATCCAATCAATATCAGATTTATAGCGCAGCTTACTGAGAATTTCTAATTGGTGCGAATTGTCATCGTCTAAAGCACATAAGCAAACGAAAATCTATTGAGTATCCTAAAAGACATGAGAACAAACCGTCAATATAAAGCCATGGATTCATATCTAAATGTAAATTGGTCGTCGTGGAACGTTCAGGATGTTTTTTAGCAGGTCGAAGCATTCCATAACGATCATGGCTCACCAGAAGATTTTCTGTTCCAAGTACACTAGAAAAAGCAGTGTGCAGAGCTGGAGTTTGTCGATTGAACAAAATTTGGCGAGTCCACAGGCTTTCCCAACCAACGATACCTTCATCTAGAATACCTGTTTTACTCCAAAGTCTAAGGTAATACGGAAGACGGAAATTGTACGTTAAATAGAAAAAATAGAAAAGAACACACGTTTGAGTCCAAAGTTGTTCGTCATTTCGCACAGACTGTGTCACTAACGATTCGATTACATTCCAAATGTCAGAGATGGTATCGTTACATTGTTCCGGAGTGAAGACATTGGAAATAACTATGAAACCATATTCTTGAAAGAAAGCACGTGCTTCGTTGGCTTCGGAACAATTGTAACTCGACAAAGTGAAAGATTTGACGAATCCATCGGAATCTGTTGGTATATCAAGAGGTCGAAATTGACTAGTTGCACCCATCGGACGATAGTAGATAAAGTTTAGTGAGAGATGAAAGTAGTGGAGAATTTATTGAAAATAGTGATAGTAAACGACTGTTGAAATAATAAGAAGAAAATGATGTTCGTAGTGATAAATACATTGTGTTGCAGTACGGAAAAAAGTTCTTTCACTCTCTGCGCGATGAAATCATAAAGGAAAGAGGAATATAATATATATATATTTCAGAGTCATTGGGAGTGAACCTATGTTAGCGAGAGCATAATTTGAGTGCATCAGTCGATGCTATGTTGATATTATTTTTCGTGTCTATAATACACGCTCCTGATGCATGTACGTTGTGGGGTCATTGTGTGACACTTTTGTTAGTCTAATACTATTGGCTCAATTTTTAATCATTGGAAGCCCAGAGATGAATTCGCGTCAACAAATTTATTGACGTTGCGATTTGACGGCATCGATCACTCCATTTTCTTTTCATTTATTCCTAATAATGATTACATTAATATATGAGAAATATTTAAACGCGTACAATTTTTCTAAAAAACTGTTTCTATTATATTGACGTCTGTACTGTGCAAAAAAAACGTTGTTCAGAAATTTAAAAAAAGGATTTCACAATGGAAAGACGAAACAAAACAAGAGTAACAAAGACAAGAATTATTTTTGATATAAATAGACGAGAAAATATATCTACCGATTTCCTACTAATTTCTTGTATTTATGTTAATTATTATCAAAATGTTTCAATATCGGAATTAATATCGGAGTTATTGTTAATGATGTTGCTTGCACTAGTATTGATATCGTTATTCATTGTTGTTTTCAGCTGCTGCTAAGGTCGCTTGGAATCTAACATGAAATTTTGAATAACAAATCGTTGTAGAGAGCAGTGAAAACGGATATGTAGCTTATCTATCTCTACTTTTCTTCCCAGGTTCTTGATCATGTAAACTTTGTTGTCCTTTAGCTGCCATAATTTTTTAGAGCTGGTAAATCGTGTCAGAAATACAATAGGGTGAATCCATGAGGACCCATCCACTTTTTGGAAAGGTTTTATTTTTTTTAGTCGGAACTTCCGGTATGCTCTAGAAAACACTTTTGATGAAAAAAGAACATGAGCCATCTAGCGGAAAATACCGAGCTCTGGTTGATTTTTTCGGAACGACTATGGCGTAGTATCATTTTTTCGTCATTTTTGAGTAGTGATTTTTTTGTAACAACAAGCCATAATATAGATTTTCTATATATATATATATATCTATAGTACGAAGTTAGTACATTAGGTACCATACTATACCAGCTCGTTCATAACGCAAATACAGGAACTGATGCGATCCGAGATTATGCAAAAAATTCAAAAATAGTCAATTTTTGGGTATACCGTTTTTCGCCACAATACGATAATCAGACATCCATTTTAGTCGTATTAAATACGTATCTCTAATGTCTATTTATGTCTATAATAGTCACAGATTCAAGGGATTT